GGATAGCGATTGAGTCAGGATGAGAATTTAAGCCTGTTGAGAGCACCATTTGATTTCCAAAACTGCCATTCCCATATCCAAGAATGACACCTATGTTATTAGTACCATAATTGACAACGGCGATATCCAATAGGCTATCGTTATTGAAATCAAAAATGGCAAAGCTTCGTAAATGAGAACCATCGGTAGGCGCAAATGTGATTTTATCTTTCAAAGTTCCTCTGTCATATCGAAGTAGTACACCTACAGTGTCGTCATTAAAATTAGCGACGACAATATCCGGTCGAGTGTCATTGTTGAAGTCACCAACAGCAACAGCTTGTGGGCCAAAGCCAGTTGAATATGTCGTTTGATTTGCAAAAGAGCCATTGCCATATCCAAGAAGGATGCTTACAGTATTGCCACCAAAATTAGCAACGACGATATCCAGTTGGGTGTCGTTGTTAAAATCACCAACAGCTACAGAGGCTGGCAGAGAGCCAGTTGAAAATGTCGTTTGATTTGCAAAAGAGCCATTTCCATATCCAAGAAGGACACTTACAGTGTTGTCATTCTGATTAACAACGACGATATCCAGTTGGTTGTCATTATTAAAATCACCAACAGCTACAGCTATTGGGCTAGAGCCAGCTGAATATTTCGTTTGATTCGCGAAAGAGCCATTACCATATCCGATAAGTACACTTATAGTGTTGTCATCAAAATTAGTGACGGCGCTATCCAGTTGGGTGTCATTATTAAAATCACCAACAGCTACAGCTATTGGGCTAGAGCCAGTTGAATATGCCGTTTCATCGGCAAAAGAGCCATTTCCATATCCGAGAAGTACACTTACAGTGTCGTCATCAAGATTGGTGATGACGATATCCACTTGGGTGTCGTTGTTAAAATCACCAACAGCTACAGTTAGTGGCTCAGAGCCAGTTGAATATGTCGTTTGATTTGCAAAAGAGCCATTGCCATATCCGAGAAGGATGCTTACAGTATTGTCATGCTGATTAGCAACGACGATATCCAGATTGATGTCGTTGTTAAAATCACCAACAGCTACAGAGAATGGCCAAGAATCAGTTGAATATGTCGTCTGATTAGCAAAAGAACCATTTCCATATCCGAGAAGTACACCTACTGTGTTACTATCCCTATTAGCAACTACAATATCTAGTCGGGTGTCGTGGTTAAAATCATCAATAGCTACAGAGTACGGTGCAAGGCCAGTTCTATATGTCATTTGAATAGGAAAAAATTCATCATAACCAAGCATGATACCTGTAGTGCTCGTATCATTGTTGATGAAGACAATGTCTGAGCGATTGTCGCTGTTTAGATCACCTATAGCAATGGAGATTGATGAAGAAGATCCAGTTGAATACAGTTTTGGGCTTACAAAAGTACCGTTGCCATGCCCGACAAGTAGAGCTATATTGGCAGTGCCATTATTGGTGACGACTAAATCCATTCGATTGTCGTTGTTGAAGTCACCAATGCCAATAGAATATGGAGAAGCCGTGCCGAGCGAATATATCGTTTGTCTTATAAAAGTTCCGTTGTCATTCCCAAGAAGTATACCCACACTGTAATTTCCATGATTGGTGACGGCAATATCTAGTATGGTGTCTTCATTTAAATGACCGACGGCAAGGGAGTATGGATGGGAATTAGGACCAGTTGAGAATGTGCTTTGCCTTGCGAAAGTGCTGTTACTAGCCCCAAGCATGATACCAACATTATTGGTACCATAATTGGCGATAGCAAGATCCATCTGTTTGTCATTGTTGAAATCGCCACTAACAACCGCTAACGGGAAAGAATCGTAGCCTGTAGAGTAAGTGCTTGAATTGGAAAAGCTACCGTTTCCATATCCATAAAACACACTTACAGTATGTGTGCCGTAGTTAGCGGTGACAATATCGAATGCTGCGTCATCGTTGAGATCTGCTACATGAATCCAAACTGGACGAGATGATTCAGTTGATAGAACTGTTTTGTTTGCAAAAGACCCATTTTGGAATCTAAGAAGTACACCGATGCTATTTGTGCCGAAATTTGCGACAGCGACATCCAGTCGATGATCATTGTCAAAATCACCAACAGCAATCATGTACGGAGCAGAGCCATAACCAGTTGAAAACAGGACTGGGCTTGCCACAGTGCCATTGCCATGTCCAAAATATATGGCTATATTGTCAGCGGCATAATTGGCAACAACAATATCTAGCAAGGTATCGTTGTTGAAGTCTCCCATGGCAACAGCTCGTGGATCGTACTTATAGTTAACTGGATTTTGGGCCGTTGCTTTAAAATTAAGCACACATTTTGGAACTAAGTAACGCAAGAACAAAGAAATAAAGACTGATCAGTTACTATGATTTAGCTATTCCTAATGGATCGTATCAGACTTCGATAATCCTGATGATTTGCTATTTAGAATAGTCAGATTAATACAAACAAATCTGAATGAGAATCAGCACTTTTCAATAGAACATCGTTGAGTCTCGCGAAACTCCTAGTGACTGAGGAAGAACAGAGACAGTAGCTAACATAATGAGAAAACGAATTATGAACTGCCGCTGACTAAGAGTTCAAAACCACATTCGTTTCTCTTTTACTGATTCTTGAAGGACATGCCATTAGCTACAATTAGAATATAATGATGATATTTTCGGACCGTTTCGAAATTAAATGAATGTCAGTATGTCCGTGTTGCAAAACTCTTGCCATCGTGTCATGAATATCACGCATTGTTGACTAACAACAGCAATTAGAATATAACAAGTTTTTTTTACGAGTGTTCGAGATTACGCAATGAATATAACACTGACAGTTTATTAACAGTTATCATCTGATGAATTGAGTGATGATTGATTTCTAATGTTGAACATCGTGATCATACTCCAATGTTATAATACGACCTGCATAGCTATATGATGGTTTCGGGTAATTGATAAGTGCTTTTTATTTGGTTAGAGGGCTGAAACGGCGAATTAATATTACGGACAGGTTATCTTATTGGGTAATGGAACATGTGTCAGTTTAATTTTTTGCTCCAAAGAAACTTATTTTACGAAAATAACACTGCGTTTCAAGCTTGATCAAATAACTTTGGAGTTGAGAAATGTGAATCCATTCATAGTTTCTCAAAGTTTGTAGTATCGTTATTTTCGAGATATACTCGTTCCAGAGAAAAAAGCTTAAGATTACATATTTCGAAAAGCTACGAACAAAGGAGGAAGACGCATAAAAAGACAGATCATCTACTTGAAAAACGACTCAATAGCTTCTGAGGCAGATTACAATCCTATATTTTTACTGCAGTCAGATGGCTGTACACTAACAGTAACTTTGTGACAACATTTGTTCATCTGTCTATAAATAGTCTTATTTGAAAGATGAGTAAATTATCTACAAATTCTCAGCAGAAAAGCTGAATTTATGGAGAGATAATAGTGTTTTCATCGATATTTCGGGTATGTCAGGAAGGTTTTGGATTCTTAATTGCTTTGAAGACAGCTTTACGATGGACTGTCCTCTTCAAAGTTTGATGCAGTTTTTGACGGACTACACGCTGGTAAAGTTTTCTTGTGGATATCATAATTATACAGATGAGAAACTTCCACTAATCAGTCTAGATCGACTCTAGACAATCATATAATCGGCTTCTGTTTTGTTAATATGAATACCATAGGTTCTTCTGCAATGACAGCACATATGGTTGCAGTTTTAGGCACGATCAAACCTTGAGAGGCTTTAGCTAATAAAATAACTAGAAGAAAACTACACCAACGGTGAGTCCGTCAAAAACTGCATCAAACCCTATAGAAACACTATTAGTTCATTGTAAACTCAGCTTATAGTTATCTTATTTTTGGATATAGCCGTTTGGGTGCAATGACAATATGATATATTAATCTGAATTAGGAACCATTGATTGGCTTTCTAAACAGATTAAATGCAGTGTCCAATGATTTACTGTCTCATTCTGCATCGAAATAACGGATGAGGCAGAGTAGATGGCTAAACTTTGCATTTTAATTGTTACTCACTTAATACGTTGTATTAAAAAAGATAAAATATATCACAAGATGTAACGTGAAAAACTCTACGATTTATATGGATCAGCTTTTTTAACCGTTGTACTGTTTTCTTTCAAAATGCACAGAATTTCGAGAGACTTAATTTCGACCATGCGAAAACGAGATTTTCTTTGTACAAGATGAATTCGTTTTTTCTTATTTCATCTTTTTATCACCTGATAGTTTTTAGTTGAAAAAACAAAATATACTAGTAGATGCACCGGGAAACGCTACACAATTTACACAGTAAAGCTTATTGTATTTGTTTTCGAAGGCAACAAAATTTTGTGCGATAATTTTTCTCACGGTTGAAATTCGATCGCTCAAAATCTTGTTCATTTTCAACACAAATATAACCTGGTATTAAGTAATTGAAAATTGAAATACAAAGTGTAGCCATTTAATCTGCCTCAGCCGTTATAGACTTGTTTTGAAAATTCTGATGTGGGCAAATTCGTTTTCTTATGTGCTCTTTCTCTGGATTTCATGCTTTTGTAACATTTTGGATCAAAGTTCATAAAATAGGCTTTGTTTGAGACAAAAATCAAACTGACCAATACGCTCTCACTGGCAAGTAGCACTTGCCACATACTGGTAACCGTAGTAATGCGAATGTCATACTCGTAAATATCTGTTGTTTGAGCTCAAAGTTTTCTCGTCAGTAAAACTCATAGAATGGAAAAAAATCCAAAAGAATTCGTACTATTAGCTATATCTCAATAAAGGAAGATTTTCACGGGCTAACTTCTTACAAACTCATCTTACACCTCGCTGCTTATCGTATAAAAAAAGACGATAAAAAAGATTTTTCAGTCAGACGCACTTTATCATAGGTGGAAAAGGCAGAATATAGGTATAGGTGTGTGAGTTTATAGAAGAGAAACATTCACCTGAATGGGAGTATATCGATGCTAATGTGAATGGATTTTCGGAATCTTGCGCTTCCTATTCATCATCATAATCCAATATAGTTTTCGTCTCAAGTACTTGAGGTATACTTTCCATAGAGATTAAATACAATGTGTTCTTTGTCAGACCTGATTGAAGCTAGTGCATTACAGAACAATTTGTGTGATGTTAGGTTTAATAATTATAACACATTTTTATTATTGTGATATGTGAACTATGTTAAAATAGAAATGTGCTTACTATTTGTCCACTTTGTGAATATCATCAACTACTGATCAGTTATTAGTCAGATAAAAGTATTATTTTATGACGTATATACAAAGTTTTACAGCTTGAAAGAGCTGTAACAGAAATAAATCACTAGAAAATATGTGAGAACATGCATGAATCAAAAAGAAAGATTGAAAAAGAAAACGAATGTACCTGAGCATGCTAGAAAAGAAGATAAAGGGTGGCCCAGAAATTCTGAAGTAAATTTAAAATGCATCGTTCTCGCATTTGACAAAAGCAAACTGTTTGAAACTTTGGCAGATTATTGTGCATGCTTGGTACTAAATAACTACAAAGTTTCAGATATATAACTTGTATTATGGATGAGAACCAGTAATAACACTATCATGTACTATTTTTTCAATTTTCCTATCTTTCGGATTTGCAACATTTTTTTTATTTTGCCTATATCTCGACATTGGTAGATGATGAAATCTTGAACTTTTTTTTGAAAGATGCGCCATGAAAAGCTCTACAAAAATTGTAAAACTTAATTCCTATTGGCTTGTGTTAATGGTTTCTATCATAGTCAAAATGAAAAACCTACATGATAGTAGTACTTCTCACTAGGGATGCACCGGTCACTTTTCTGTATTTCGGTGTCTCTCCTATACGGTACATCTCAGTAACTCGAGTACTTAATTTTCTTAGAAGAAGTGATCCCTCGTCCTAATTAATTTTGGGGAATATTGATCAGAACTTTGGCGTTAAACAGAGAATCGAGCTGATAAGGTTGTAAAAGGCCATAATGGAGACTGGCATATTAGTACTACTGGAAGCATTCAGTCTTCTGTTGTCTGAGTAATAGCGGAAACCGGTTATCATCGCAAATTTTCGTAGTTCTATATGGACAGTATTGATATTGACTAGAAATACAACGGTGTAGGTCATTTCACTGGTGAAAACCGATAACTATACCCATGGTTGCTGCTACAGTTGCAATCATTGTACCTAGGTTTTTCGATGCAATTGCGCTAATCGTACTAATGGTTACTGGTACATCTAAGATCAC